GTTCTTCTCCAGTTACCGTTCAGGTGTTCAACCCATTGAGGAACAAATCATGTCCCCTTTTGCCCGAGAAGAAAGTGCAGCAGGAAGAACAGAATGGAACATGGAGCCCCTCCTTGCTCTGCCCACCACAGCTTGCTCTCTCTGCCAGAGAAGTTAGACAGGGCAGGGCTTGCTGGGCCTGGCACATTTTTCCTACATTCCAGGCCTTGAGAGCACCAAACCTAGACAGTCCTGGTGACACCGAGATAAAGAATTTATAAAAATATAAAGATAAAAACTAAATCCCGTGAGCAAGGCTAACATTCATTTAACTTAACAGCCTACAGAGATCAGATGGTTACAGAAAGAAGGTCAAGTAAGCCTAGGAGTGATGATGATGAATAACATTTTTGGAGCACCTACTATGTGCTATACCACTTTTAAGGTTCCTCCTTTCCTAGGTCATGGGAACTGTTTTTAAAATGAAGAAATGGAGGCCTGTGGGGAAGTAACTTCCCCAGGGGGACAAGGAGCTAGTAAACAGGGAGCTGCACCTACACCCCTCTGATCCACGTGACAGGCTGTGTGACTCCAGTATGGTTTGTTTTCTTTTTTTTTTTAAAGATTTATTTATTTATTTTAGAGAGAGATCGAGAGAGAGAGCACAAGTGGCAGGGGCAGAGGGAGAGGGAGAGAGAATCTCAAGCAGACTCCATGCTGAGCGTGGAGCCTGACACGGGGCTCGATCTCATGACCCTGTGATCACAACCTGAGCCAAAACCAAGAGTCGGATGCTTAATTGACTGTGCCACCTAGGCACCCCTCCACTGTGTTTATTTAATCAGTTCATGGGGTGAGACCACCATCATGGTATTGATGTCAGGGGCCGTAGTGGTATATGGAAAGAGCCTTAGTATTGGAAGAAGCAGCTATGGACCTCTTTCAACTTTCCCACTTATTAACTGGTCACAGGCCCGGTTAGCTCAGTGTCTGCAGAGCGATGATAATTCATAACCTTGTGAGATTATGGTTAAGTGGAAATGAAAGAATCTAACACAATGCCTGGCATATACCAGGTGCTCAGTAGGTATTTACTGAATTTATCTGCCACGAATACAATTCATTCACTCATCAAATTCATATTTATTGGGCATTATGCCAAGTGCCAGTCAATGTCCTAGACACATAATTGCATTGTTGAACTATAAGAGACAAAGTCCCCATCCTCAGGGAGCCTAGTGTGTGTGTGTGGGGAAACCATTAAATGCTCACACAATAAGTGTAATTATAACTACCAGGAGATATGGGATGGTACAAGAGGCACTCCTCAAATGCTCTGTGTCCGAAATGAGACTGGTCATCTTTCCCTGTGCCTGTTCCTCTTCCAGGATCCTCCTTCTCAAGGCGATGCCACCATCTACCCATGTCCCAAAGGAAAGCCATAGGAATCACCATGAACCTTCTTGCACCTTAACACCATTGCTTTGTCTCATGGTTTGCGGCTCTTACTCTGGTGTTGCCTGGCTTTCCTAGAATGGCGTTGTAACAGATCGTCACAGCCTGTATAGTCTACAGTCGTGGTTTGAGGAGTTAGGGGGACATTTTACTCAGGCCTACATTATTACAGTGGCCTGTGCACAAGCATCTGTCGTAGGTTTATACCGCTCCAAGAAAGGCCTTGTGTTAGGTACTTGGAAACTTACTCTCCTGGAAGTAGGAAAAAGATAAGTTTTGAAAACATCCCAGTTTTGCCCAGGGCAGATCCGCTGGTTGCAGACAAAGAGAAGCTGTGAAAAGAGTTATTTTTTTGCCTTGTAGAGCTGGAAGGCATACCGTTCTATTTGGTATGATTTATGTAGATTCATTTCAATATTTGATTGGGTTTTAGAAATATTCTTCCTCATGGAAGTCGTTAGAGTATGGCTGTGTACCTGTGACCTCTAGTCATGCTCACAATCTCTAGTCATGCTCAAACTAATAATCTAGGAATAGAAACCATCCCCTCGCCAGATGGTGCTAATTGGTAAGCCAGGGTCATCTACTCTCTCGGACCCTGCCCTGTCCAGATTGATTCTGATGCAGAATAACCCTTGAAATGAAGTGTGTGGCAGTACCGCCACTGGGCAGTAGAGGGCGACAGAACCACACTCAGTGGGTACAGCCATGCCGGGAGTCCTCTTGCCTGCCGGATCTTTTAAGACTTTTCAGACACACAGGGCGGTGTTATTATTCCCATTCCCCAGGTGGGGAAGCTGAGTCTCAATATTATTCCCAAGATTAGACAGCTGGGAACACTGGAGACAACTACATTTTTAGACAGGAGGGGTGGTTGGAAGGGTCCTTGGGCTGGGGGACTTGACAGAGCATTTTACGCAAAATGGGGAGAATTGTCATTGTTCAGTGCTGTCCCAGTTAGAAAATGACGGAGAAGGAATATGAACTCAAGCTTTCTGACTCCAAATCTAGGGCCCCTTGAGTCTGCAGAGAGTATGTGAATTATCCATCCCATTCTCCTGGCATTCACAAGTACAGAGATGGATTTCTGCTCACTCACCACACTTACTCTGATTTCTGTCCTCCTTGGCCCTTGTTCCTAGTTCTAGAGTAAATAAACAGGCCAACACAACTCTGAATGTTGGCAAGGAGGCCCTGAATCAAAACATGAACCCAGACCCTTGACCTTCCTGGGAGACAATATTACAGAAAAAATGAAGGGAAGGTCCTCAGATATTACACTGTATTTCCACGTGCTGCGTTGACTATATCGAAGCCTTGATTATGTGATGATGACAACAACAGCAGTGTTGTACTGAGCTGTTACCCTGGGCCAGGCACTGTGCTCGATCATGTCATTTAATCCTCCCAAGAAACCAGCGATGCAAGTAGTAGTATTCTTATTTCACAAGTGAGAAAAGTGAGGCCAGAAAAATTACATAATTAGCCCAAGTTCACTTGGCAGTCGATCCAGCATTACTTGGATGTAGACCTCCTCACACGCACTCTTACAGCTTTCTGGTGCTGCATTCCAGGGGTTCCTGGCTTCTTCGGTCAGGTGGCCAAATTCACAGCACTTTCAGAAGTTGTCCCAATGTTACATACCCAGAATGCAATTGATAGTGTTAATGATGGGATGAAAACAGTGAAATCACATGCCATTTGCACAGAAATTCCAGTACTTGGAAGTCCTAATTGTAGTGTCTTGTTTTCCCAGAATTCAAGATTTCCCAGAAAAGCCAGCCTAACCCTGAGGAACACAGCATAATGGTTGTCTTTCCCCTGGGATTCTGAGCACCAGAGAGCATTCCTATTGGTTCAGAAGATGGGTAAGACTTATGACAGGGGCGCCTGGGTGGCTCAGTCGTTAAGCGTCTGCCTTCGGCTCAGGTCATGGTCCCAGGGTCCTGGGATCGAGCCCCGCGTCGGGCTCCCTGCTCCGCGGGAAGCCTGCTTCTCCCTCTCCCACTCCCCCTGCTTGTGTTCCCTCTCTCGCTGTCTCTCTCTCTGTCAAATAAATAAAATCTTAAAAAAAAAAAAGACTTATGAGAAACATTTAAAATCCCAGAGGAATTAAAACTTCTTTCCCTTGTGTTGTAGGGGGCAGATCACACAAATTGTGTAGCTTGCCTCACACAATGGACTACAATTTAAGTCCATTTGTTTGCAGTAAATGTTACTTACATACATATATATGTTTAATGTACTAAATAGAGTCCTTTTTGCCTCACTCCGGTACCTAGTTTTTATCAAATATAAGGCATTCACTAGGCCCATTTGAAGACAAGCCATCAAACAACCCCCCAAAAAATCTGACCCTGCAACTACAAGGCCCAACATCAGCCTTCCTGCTCTTTATCTCAAGGGTCTGCCTGGTGAGTGGGAAGGAAGAGACAGTGCTTCTGGTCCATAAATGGCGGCTTCCGACCCCACGACCTTTGCATTTAAGAGTAGAGTGAGCACCACTGAGGTGGTCGTTTGTGCTTACAGCCTGTAATTTGGTGCATATTACGTGAATAATTAAGACTATTTGGTATATCACATCAAGGTCAGTATTTTGCATTCATTTCCAAGCCTGTTCTGTAGACCCTTACTTGCTGCCTGTGCTATTATTATGTATCTCCTGGTTTCCCCTACACTTTTCTTCTCTTGATTCACAGTGTGCTTTACCCATCAGATCACTGACCCTCTAAGCAGGAACTTAGTTCTGACTTTTGGCTCAGGGAATCCCTGATAACATCACAGTAGGACCCAGACACCTCATATCAAACAGACACACCACCGTGAGAAGCACTAAAGCAGAAGGAAGAGATTTTTATTCTTAGGTAGTCATGACGATTCTTTTCTCTAGAGTCATACCTCCGTCTATCAATGCCATCTGAGAGCTAAGCTGGCGGGAAAGCCCGGAAGAGATAGTCAGCATCTGGCTCCCACTGCTCTCACTTTCCAGTTTCTATAAGGTCTGGAGAATGACTTTACCCCTTCCCAGTTACCACAACCACATCTGCATGATACGCAGAGCGAAAGCTGCGTGATTTATGATGTGTAAGACTATGATTATGAACTAGGATTTCGCAAATCCAGCCCGGTGGGAACATACGCTGGAGCGTCCATGACCATGAAACTGAGCCCAGGTCTTTGTGTAGGGCTGACTGCCCCCTGCCTCACGTGGATCCTCCTGTCAGAGAGCAGGCAGGGCCCTCACCAGCCTTGGGGGCCAGGCCCTTCTTCACTAGTTACGGAAACCCACAACAGTTGAACACTGGCAGCTGTATCTGATCTCGAAGCAGTTATGTTAGGTCAACAGATAGTCCTTTTAAAATCTTGATATCGGACCCCTTTAGGGAGGCTGTAGCTCTCACAGTGTGTTATTTCCCACACCTAGACCTGTACACGTTTATGTTACCCTGCTGCTGAGTGTGTCAGGAAGAGAAAGGGTACCCGTATGCAGATAGCCTCCCTGCTTGCCTCCTTGACTAAGGAAGACACCAGGAAGGCAGGGGGCTGCAAAAGAGATGGGTGCTTACTGTGCTGGTCGCTCCTGTCTCTTGTCCCGTCCACTGTGCCATCTGGAAGGATCCTCAGGAAGTGGCCCCCGTTGCTACAGTAGAGGAGTTTGGGCTTCTTGTAATTCCCCGGAGGCAGATTAAACTTCTCCATCAGGGCGGTGAAGGTTGTGATTTCCCCTTCAGCCATGGCTCAGCAGCTGCCGGTTACCGCGTTTTCAAGGCTGTAAGAAATTAGACAACCCTGTAGAATGTCCCACCGGCAAAGGTGCCACATACCCTTTCAAGAAGGGGAGGAGAGCCTCAGGGCACGGGGCTCCTGGTAGGTTAGTAACCACAGACTGCCCAGGTGATGGCCACAGGAAATGGGCCTGTGCGGTGGGCAGTGGTTAAGGAATAAAGGTCTCTGGCCTGGGAGGGATTTTCAGGACATTTTTTACTTCCCAATTGGACACAGCTTTGGACCAGGCTGTGCATTTTTTAGAACTTCAAATTTAATCACTTGGCCAAGGGAAAAAAAAATAATGTTTTGGTCCCTCCTTCTGATCCACACATATTCTCAAATTAAACACTGGAGTTGCACTAAAATAACACCTGGGCCCTGGCTGAAACCCACAAAAGCCGAGAGGCCGGCACTGAGGTTTTGCTCTCCATCCTCCCACTGTTTTGGTTGGGGACTGCCGGCCCCGCAGAGAGCCTGACTGTTGGGGACCCATAGGAAAAGGGATGGAGGCCTCGCAGACCACCCACAGTAGGGACTGCCAAGGGTCCTGCGTCAAGGGTTTGCTGGTGGGAACAGCAGTGGAGCGGGGAACAAGCACATGGCAGGTGTTCCGGAGGGATCTAAAGGGCAGACACTGTACCAAAGGAACCTTGATGAGACAGATCCTGATGAAGGGTCTGCCAGTTATCCTTCCCCAGCTTTCCGTACGTCCTCATATCACACAGAGAAGGTGGGTCTGTCCCTTGTACAAAGGCTGTCTTCCTCCTCGTTATTTTCTAACGAGACATACTTATTCTGACACAGCAGCCGCCATATTACACGGTATAATCCTCCAATAGTGTAGACACCCACTCTATAGAGATTTATATCGTCATGTAAAAATGCATCAGTGACACAAAGCTAAGTTTTAAAAAGCAAAAGTAATAAACATTAGAATTTTAGAACATCTCCTTGCCCCACCACTTAGGAGAACAATGCACTGGTGACAACAGGGATATGCAGGAAAGAGGCAAAGAAGAGCCGGAAAACTATGTGGGAGCTTCCTTACAAAAGTGATCAGGTGCTGGCTGTACACGGTGATCATCAGTAATGTCAATTATATTATTATCAATTACATCAAGTGTATATTATCAAATATAGCAATATAATATCAATTATAATAATAATGATCATCATCATTCACACGTTCTGGGGTACAAGTTAGCTCATGTGACCTTCCTTATTACTCTTTGAGACAGACACTCGTATGATCCCCATTTTTTCTAAAATGACACCGAAGCTGACAGATGTTCGATGGCCTGTCCAAGGTCAACCGCTTCTAGGTGGTGGTGCCAAGCCTCAAAAGGAGTGTGTTGAAACAAAGCAGTCACTTGGCCTTAACACCATGAAAAAGTGAAGGGACTTCACTGATACTGTATCATTGCCGGAAGTGGGATTTTTACCTCTTGTCTAGCACGTCTGTGCACGTCTCTGCCCCCATGAGCTTGTTATTCATTAAGTTATTCATTTGTGACCCAGATGTTGGCTTTCACCAACTTTTGTCCTCATGTCAACCTTGAAGCGAGACTCCAGGCATGTCCTCATTCCCTGAGAGACCCCACAGCGCCAGGCTCTAGGGAGCACTGTGAGCTTCACAGAAGGTCTGCTAGCCTCCTGCATGCCCTGCACTAACCATCCATCCATCCATGCATCTCCAAGGTGGCCTCATAGAGCTGCTCACATGGAAAGCAATTCCATCAATAAAAACAAAACAATTTGAGTAATTTTCCTGGAATTAAGGTTCATGCTGGAAGCCTCTCTTTGTTTCTTTTGCTCCAGGCATTTTAATATCTGTGGTTCATGTCTTCCAGTCTGCAGTCACACGGGCCAGTCATGGTCGCCGGTTTCAGCTATGCTTTGCAGTCGCTCCAGTGACCCCCAAAGAGCATTTTGGATATGCTACATAAACTATATTTAAAGTCAGGCCATCCCAAACATCCCCTTCACATATGGTGAAACTCTATCCAGCTCTTTTCAGATAATGTAGTAACAGATCAAAAATGTTATTTACATCTGCAGACTTCACTTTGTGGAGTACATGGCATTTCTTTCCCAAATCTACACTCTCTCTTCCAAACCCTCCTTGTTCATCCATAAGCCTCTACGTCTATGGGCCCACCTTTTCCTTTCACGGTCTCTCTTTCTGTCTTTCTGCTCAGCCCTTCTTCGCCCAGCCTCTCAATCTCTCTCTCATTCCATCTCCTCCCTCCACTTGCTTCTGGATCTCCTTCTGATATAAAGCAGTTTAGCTCTTCCAAACTTGGGCGTCTTCACCTATCACCTCTCCATTAACATGCAACAGTGATCGGATCTCTGTGCCTTAAAGTACAGCCAAGAGATAATAAATATTTTTTGGGGTTTTTTTTTTCCCCCAAGCACTTGCTACGTTGTATTCTTAATTTGGTACAGGAGACAATAATTATATGCTGGTGGTTGCCATTTAACTGTACAAATAGCCATTTGTATTGCCAGTCTTTGGTGGACAGGATTTTGTTTGTCATTGTCCCTGGGTTTCCTCAAGTGGAGGTCCCTGTGTGCCCCTGACTGTGTGGGCTTCAAGGATGGCTTCCCTTCTAGATCTAGCACCAGTGGGGAGTCTCTGTTGAGTCGTTTTCGAAGTGCTGGGTATGAATTTGGCTCTATCCTTTGCATTCTTGCTTCTATCCCCTTGGTATGAAGGGGGACCAGATAGACCAGCAGGCTCCTGAAGTTGGAAGCTCCAGGTCTGGCCAGGGATTGTCCTAATGCTCACATTCTCATGTGTGTCTAAGCCTGACAGCCTGGGCTTCATCACTGTGGAGATCTTGGCCAGAGGCCAGCAGGTCCTCAGGTGTCCCTCTCCTCCCGACCACAGTGCACCCCACAGTTATAAAGCCATGACTGTGCTCTCTGTCTTCTCGCCCCCAGTAAGAGGGACAGTAATGGGGGGTGGCTGCACTGACTTCAGATCGCTCTCACCGCCCTGCAGTTCACATCCATAGCTGGAAACCTGAGGAGAACATGTTGACTCCTGAAAATCAGCCTTGAGTCAACATGAACCTGATAGACTGTGGCAGTGGGATTTATGACTCAGCTGAAACGTACAAAAAATGAAGTCCCTTTTTGTTGCTGAAGGAAACCCCAGAGGCACAAAAAGCCCTTGTTTTGGGGGGGGGCTCTATTTACAATTTACCTATATTTTGAGCAGTAGTTAATCCTAAGTTCCTTGCCTACTCAGGATTCGTTAAAGGAGAGGAGTGAAGGAAGTCTATGACATGATAAAACCATTAAGCCCAGCCTTCACGGGCCCTTGGGGATTTTCACAAATTGTTCTAATAAATGAATCCATTAACTACATGAAGTCAGGCATTAAGCATAATGGAAATTTATGAGTCCTCTTGCCTTTTCTCTCGTTGGCCTCCTCTTCCTAGAGCCCCCCACACCCTCACGCTCACCCAGAAGCATCCTCTCTCGCTCCCTCCACCTTCCACCGTGGCCGGGCTAGGTCATTCTCTCCCTTCAAAAATTCATCTCAGATATGGCCTCCTGCAGAAAGTCGATGTGGACGCATCCTCCAGCCCTAACCCACTCCTCTCCCTCCACACCACACACACCGGTTTAGATTTTAGTTGATTCCCTATATGCCCCTCTAGTAGCACATTTACCCGACGGGAGCCCTGGCTGTGATTGCCACGTATGTCTCCCGCTGAAACCATCCAGTGGTTTCCCACTGCTTGGGGGAGAGACCAAGGCCTTATCCCTATTGTCTCATAACGTATATGAGTGTCGAGTCACTATGTGGTACACCTAAAACTAATATACTATTGTATGTCAACTACACTTCAATTACAAACTGTAATTACAAGTTCCCTTTTGCTTTTTTAGAAAAGTTCTAAGGCCTTAACAGGGCCTGCAGGGCTCGGAGGACCAGCTTTGGCTTACCCCCTGCCTCATCACCCACCATGCTCTTTCCCCACACTGGCCTTCCATTTCCCTGAAACCCCTGTGCCCCTGTTCACCCTGGGATCTTGGCCCACACGGTTCCCTCCCTCTAGAGCACGATTCCTCTCTTTCCTTCCACCCCACTTGCCTGCGTGAACGCCTACGTTTTGTTCAATTGCCCATTCCTCAAGGAAGCCTTTGCTGACTTTCTTTAACTGGGTCAGGTTCCTCTCGTTCTCGTAGAACCATCTAACATTTCCTCAGAGCTCTTACTTCATTTTTTAATTACACATTCATTCATGTGATTATTTAATTAATGTCTCCCTTTATGACTGGACTGTCAGCTCCATAATAGTACAAACCCATCTGTCTTGCTCACCATGGTATCCCAGTGCCTGGCAAAATGCCTGGCATCTAATGGGCCCTTGATAAATATTTCTTTAATGAGTAAATGAATATAATTTAACTAAGGTTACCTGACTGTCTCCTTCACTAGTCTCAGAAGCTCCGGAACAAAAGCTATGCCTCTTTTTCTAGGCCCTGCATTTATTAGCAAATGCCTGCACATAATCATTGCCCTCGGCATATTTGTGAATTGAATACCAGGCCGGTCCCTTCTTAGGAGCCTCTAGTGGAAACATGTTATCAGAAGACCTTATTAGAAGGTGGGGTCCTACAGGTATTAACAGAGAGGCTAAACCAAGACCCTAAACGTATTCTAAGAGAGTTCAAATTAGGCTGGAATACTCTACCCTTGGTTAAAAGCAGACCCAAACATTTTTCCCCATCTTGTAGAAGATACTTCCTTTCTTCTTTGAAGGCAGCAATATTTGGGAATTGAAGGATCTCAAAAAAGGATCAGATCTTTTAGTCTCGAGTCTTTACCTCACTGCGAAAAAGTTTCTAGGGCCTAAAAAGAACTCTAGGTTTTGTTATTTCTGTCAGGGAGTGCCAGGTTGGCAGGAACCCACCTCACACCCTCTGGTGAGGAAAGTTTGCCTGAAGAAAGGGAGACAGGGTGCTTTTCTGTCTTTTTCCCCC